TTCGCTAAAGCTTATGTGGTACTATATAACTGATACAAATACATAGATATATTTTTTTTTTCGTAAATACATACATATTATACATAGAAAACACCCGTTACAAACAATCATACTCATGAATACAAACGTTTGTGCCGTACGAGGAATCGAACCCGCGACCATCGTAAGTAAGGCAGTGTTCTAATCGCTAGACCACCGAGGCCGTCAACAAATTATAATAAAGCAGAACAATAATCATAATAAAGCTGAGAGAGTGAGAATAATAATAATAATATGGTATATCCACCTAAGATAGAACATTGTTATGTACTTGGCTTAGGCCCGTACATACCATCCAAAGGGAACCCGCAGAGATGGGGCCCGCTATAGAGTGGGCCATCCCCGTCGGAGTCGCGGTGGACTGAATATCGACCCGCGACTCCGGCATATGGCGCTGGATGAGGGGCATCTTGGAGTTTTTAGTGAGTAGGAGTCTCACAGCACCCGCGGGCCTCCCCCGGGTCGGCGGGTCTCCATGAGGGATTTTCTCCAAGTAAAAAAAAAAAAGGCCCGTACAAGATTACCGGCGAAAGTCGAGAAAAGATAATAAAAAAAAAATAATAATAAAGAAGAAAGGTGTAAGAAGCACTAATTATGATGAAGACTGCATAACTATTTCAAAGGTTTTTCAACTGAACAATTCCAAACCGCGAAGAATTCCATTTATCGCTATCTCCTATGACTTACGTCTATTGTCTGCGAAATTTACGGACATTCTGCGAAATAAGAATGCAGAAGAATACAAAATATCATCGCAAGTAAATTCTTATTATGATTCAAAATCATATGCTAAGTTCATATGTGACTGTCTTATATACATGAACAGCACCTTTAGCGATCTCAGTGGTGTAGCGGTTAGAACACCGCCTTACTTCCGATAGTAGCGGATTCGATACCTCATACAGTAGAAACATTTGTATTCATGAGTATGATTGTTTGTATCGGTTTGCGTGTTTTGTATGTATATTATGTATGTATTTAGAAAAAAAATATCTATGTATTTATATCAGTTGTCTAGTATATTAACACTAGCTCTGCTTACCTTGGGATTAGATGGCACTGTGTGAACTATTCATCATCATCATCATCGCAGCCCGGAAGACGTCCACTGCTGGACATAGACCTCCCCCAAAGATCTCCACGACGATCGGTCCTGCGCTGCTCGCATCCATCGCCTTCCAGCGATCTTGACCAGATCGTCGGTCCACCTTGCTGGAGGCCTTCCCACGCTGCGTCTTCCGGTCCGCGGTTGCCACTCGAGGACTTTATTGCCCCAACGGCCATCTATCCTACGAGCTATGTGCCCTGCCCATTGCTACTTCAATTCCGCAATTCTTCGTCGTGTGAATTATTAAAAAAGTTTAATTAAGAATTGTTCTTGGTCATTATTATTGTAAAATCCGTTGCGTAGTTTTAAAGATTTGAGCATACATAGGGACGGACAGACAGCGACAGCGACTTTATTTTATACTATGTAATGATTAGATCTCGAATAGATCTGAGGTAGGCTTTGTAAAAAGTTGTCCTAATAAAATTCTCCGGAATGAGAATGCTTGAGTGAGCTTGTTTACCCTACCAATCATTACATAGTATGATTATATGCTAATATTTCAAATTACGCAACTGATCTTAATGCAGTTTTCATCAATAGATAGACTGATTCCAGAAGAAGGTTATATGTATAATACATGCATGTTATAGTATAGAACAAGCCGCGAAATTCAAAGATTTGTAATTCACGTGAAGCCGGGATATCTCGCTAGTTTGTTATAAAAAACACTGTCTTCTTACTCACTAATCATATTAATTCATTTTATGGCAATTGCGTAAGATTCTATAATAAACTGCCAGAATCTACGCTAAATCTGACAGAGAGGCAATTCAAACTTTATATTAAACAAATGTTATGTAAAAAAGCCTATTATAGGATAGATGAATTTATAGATGATAGCAATATATAGCAAGTATAAGTTTATTTGCGGACAACATTATAATTTGTTTTTCGTACTGCTTTCTTGATATATGATAGCGTAGCGGCTTTTGTATTGATTGGCGCATGCATCCTCATGTAAAGTGCGAATACTGTAACTACCATATAGTAATATGTGGTCGATAATGAGTAGTCATGCTCACTAAAATGTTACATGTGGCGGCGTGGTGGGCCGGGTCATTGGGCTCCCTAAAATATGGTCGAGCGCAGTGATAGCTGGCTCATCCGTCATACTCGTGAACGAGTGCTGCTTGTAGGGACTGGTCTGCTCTTATCACTACGACTGATTTAATCTTATTGTGTTTTTATATTTGAGCCTAAATAAATTAGTGCTAGTTGGTAGTTTGTATTCACACATTTCGACTTGTAAAATGTGAACTTACAAGGATTGTTTAAAAGAGCAACACACAATCTTTTTCTTGCTTATTCTTCTTGTGATGAGACAGCTTTCCGAATAAGCATTAGATTTAAAAAAAATGTTGACTATTCAAAAGTGCTTAAATTAAGTTTGTTTGAATAAATGATTTTCTATTCTATTCTATTCTATTCTATTATCAAATAAATACATTTTAGACATTTTGTATTCACACACTTCACTGGACTGGTCTGCTCTAATTACTATGACTGATTCTTATATACTCAATCAGTTGGTTGTATATTTAATATTTTCTTTATTTGAGTATTTAATTGAATTAGTGCTAGTTGGTAGTTTGTATTCACACACTTCAACTTAAAAATGTAACAAAAAAATTATTTAAAACAGCAACACGCAAGTTTCTCGCTAGTTCTTCTTGTGATGAGACAGCTTTCCGAATGAGCGGTAGATTAAAATAATGACAACTATGACTATTCAAAAATTAAGTTTATTTTGAATAAATGATTTTCTATTCTATTCTATTTATTTCCCGCGCGGTTATGGTTATTTTCTTTATATCCATAGAGGTATATTATGACAACAAAAACGGCCATAAACTCTAAGTCATCCAACTAAGAACTTTATTCAAACTAGAACAATGAAAGCGACTTATATTGCTTCGTCTAGCCTTAACTATTTAAAGTTTTGCCATAAATTTAAATATGAATATGTCGTTTTAGCAAGAAGGAAGTACCAGGCGAGTTTGAAATAAAATATGGTCTTATTTGCACCGTCGCGTAAACAGTTGATTTAATAAAGAAGTTGTTATTAATTTATTAGGGAATAGTTGCAGATGTAATTATTTTAAACGTATTTATTTTAAATGGTAATATTTCTCTACAAATACTTACATACTTACATTGTAAGGAAATAAAAAACTTGTAAAATATGAATTTTACTATAATAATAATATGTCATCATGATTTATCATCATCATTTCAGCCCGAAAGACGTCTACTACTGAACAAAAGCCTTCCCCAGAAATCTCCACGACGATCGGTTTGGAGAATCTGCTTCTTGACCAGTTTGTCGGTCCACCTTGTCGGAGGCCTTCCCACGTTATGTCCGGTCTTCCGGGACTTTGCAGCCCCAACGGCTATCTATCCTACTTTAATTTCGAAATTCTGCGGACTTTGTCGATCACTCTGGTTCTTCTTGAGATCTCGTCATTTCTGATACTATCACGCAGAGAAACTCCAAGTGTAGTGTTCTCCATTGCCCTCTGAGTGACTTTGAGATTATTTATGAGGCCCATACTTAGCAACCACATTAAGTATTATTATCCTATCCCTATTATTACCTTTATATATATATTCTTCCATTCTATTCATGCGCCACCTACCACTTTTGTTGTATTTTCTCTACCTAAAGGTTGTCTGGAAGAGATTGCTTCTAGCGATAAGACCGCCTTTTGTACTTCCATATCTCTTTTCTGTATAATTCTTATGTATTAATTCTATTGCTGCAATAAAGAGTTTATAATATAATATAAGTAATTACTGGCAACACACATTGGTCGTAAACATTCGTCATGAGACACTGCGATAATTTGGACGAAAAGATATATCCATCCATGCAGTGCCATCCGAGATATTTCCTAATTCTTCATAAGTTGTTTACTGTGTAACAGGCGGCTGGTTTTAACTCCAACGCTAAAATTGTTTTCTATAGAAATTTCTCAACTACCGTTCGGTCATAATTGTTTAATGTTGCAATTTTATGTAACTTCTACGCTATATACACAGGTAGTAGAGACTGCTTTAAGCAATAAGGCCGCCGTTTGTTTCACACAAGTACATAAAGTTTTTTTAATTATTTTTTCTATATAATAAAGCGTGTTACTAGTAATCTTAATAATATTATAAACGCGAAAGTTTGTGTGTATGGATGTTTGTTACTCTTTCACGCAAAAACTACTAAACGGATTTTGATGAAACTTTACTGTAATATAGCTTATGCATCAAAATATAGGCTACATTTTTTTATTGAAATTCAAAATGGTTGAGTGGAGTTTTATTTAGTTATTTATTTAGAAAGAATGTTTTTAAGAAAAAATTGGACATGGGAAATGTTCAAAACAAAACTACCCATACGAACGACATTTTTATTTCTTAATAAATACAAAAAATTTTTCTTAAAAAAATGTCTTTCTTAATAAATAAATAATTATATAATAAATCTCGTAAAAAGAAGGCGGGTACTCCATTATCAACAATTAAGAAAATGACCCCCACTCCACTAGGACAATATTCGTATTATATTTAATTTATATTATATACATACAATTATTTATATATATTTTATCAAGAATTTAAATTCCCACACCAAGTACTGGTGTCGACCAGATTTAAACGTTCCAATAATTAAAAACATTGTGCTTATCACGTGAAAAATAATGTGACTAAAAGTAATCTATTCATCGGAATGATTAAATTACAAATCAAAGATCGTAATCGGGAATAATCCTTAAAATACATTAAAATATTATCTGATAAGTATAACATAGTAAAGGTATATAAATGCGGACGCTTTGAAAACAATATTTACAGTATGAAAATGGAGCTGTATAGAATTTTGTGTGCTGTATTTTTATTCAGTTTGGTGTCCGCTATAAAGAGAGCAGAGGATGGGTAAGAGATTTTAGAAATAAATAGTCTACAGCTATAAAACTTAGTGTTTTAACCTTGCGGTTTATTATAACAACTTGGACCGAATCATCAGTTCGAATCTGAGCAGCAGTAAAAATATATGCCAATATATTTTCCTCACTAACTCTACAGTTCTTAAAATACCAATAATAGACTCAATTAGTCGTTAGACAATAAAACTAAGAGTATTTGCAGACATGAAAAAAAAATTGGTATAATATATAATATAATTTCCTAAATTATTGTATTGTGCCAATAATAAATATATATATTTGGTTTTATTCTTAAAATTTAATAAATGTAACAAATTTATTAACTATTGATTTTATACTGATATCAGTGACAACCTCAGTGGTCTAGCGGTTTAACATACCGCTTTACTTCCGACAGTCGCGGGTTGTACTTGAATCGGTCTGGTTGTTATTATTATATTTATATACGTATATGTATACATACACCTACGGCTCCTACTGGCCGTGATGCTTCCATCATCCTCACTTCAACTCTATTGATAATTGTATATGTTGAATTAATAATATTTTTTTAAGGTCTACTCTTTACGAGGTTGAAGTGAAAAATGAAGAAGAGAGAGATATATTTAGTGAACTGGTTGATAAGCTAAATTTAGATGTGTGGCTTCCTGCAATACCAGAAGGTTCGGGACGAGTATTGGTACTCAAAGACCAAAGAGCGGCATTTGAAAATGAGTTCACTGCGGCTGGAATACAATACGAAGTTGTAGTGGAAAGAATGGAAGAGTATGTATTAGTTACTATTGTTTAAATCAAATATTTTAAATCCTTTGGTCAAACTATAAGTCCAAAAAGATCTAATAGAATTATATTTTTAATTACTGTTAAACAAAGTAGTATTTTTATATGTAATTGGAGTGGTAAATAATCAGCCGACCCAACTGATGATTTCAAAAGTACTCACGTTATCATTTAATAACCGTGATATCAGTCATGGTTTATCAAATGAGATGAGTAAAATGGTATGTTTTTTGTCTAATCATTTCGCAAGGACGGCAAGTCCAGTCAAAACAGAATATATCTATGCCAATATATATGCCAATATTTCATGAAGAACATGAAAAAAAATATGATAACGTGGCTGTATTGGAGTTTGAAGGATAACATAGTGCTGTAAAATGACAGAATACAGTAAGTAAAGCGAGGAATCAAAGATATTATACGAGTCATATAACGACGTTGATATGCATGATACGAGTACAATACCAATATATAGGCGATATTGCTACCCAATCAAGTGAGCCATCGGCTAATTTGCTACTAAAATGATAGAATAATAAAATATGGACCTTGGAAAAGAACATAACTTCGTAAATGCTGCCAAAAGACCTTTCTCTAGTATTTCAACAGAAATACCTACTCTCGTTTGTTAAAATACAAAATAAGAGTGTAGCGTATTTCTTCCACATACTATATTATTGGCAATTTGGTTATTATTCGTCATAATATTTTTAACCTGTATCCATCCAGTTATGTCTTCGTCAGTACCTCCTATTATTTGCGATCTTCCGCCATTTGTATTGCATTGTATTGTAAGTTGGACTTTGTTTTCGAATTTAGCTGGGAGATCCAAACACAACAGGCCAATCGAATAGGCTGTTGTGCATGGATCTTCTTCATTAATTAATTTCTGACTAGCTTCTGAATATCCATCCATCTAACAGTAAAGCACCTGATATTCCGTAGTCCCCTACTGTACTTTACCTTCAGTACGGTTACTTGGTCATTTAAACATTATGAGTGATTATACTCCAACTGCTTCTGACTGTACCACTTCCCACCAGATCATTATTAGTGGTAATCATAAAAAAATACTTACTTTAAAATTACTGGAAAATATTACGTTTCTTTTAAGACTAATCGAACTGGAGCGGAGAAAGTTATCTAAAGCTGCCAATATAACTACTACAAGTAATGGAAACAGAAATATTCAAATTAATAAGATATATACATATGATGAGGTAACTGGTAATAATGTTAATTTTCTATTTAATATTCAAAATACATTTTGAATTATTCTGAATTATATTATTAATAGAAATTGTACAATTAATTCAATTTTAAGGTCAACGATATTCTGGATAATTTAGCAAAGGACCACGACTCCGTAGATGTGTTTAGTCAAGGAACCACTTTCGGAGATAGACCAATTAAATATATTAGAATATCGTCTTCGAAGTTCATGGTGAGATATAAATTATTTCATAAATATTATGTAATTTGTTGCAGCTTTAGAATGGTTAATTATATCATTTTATTATAATAAAAATACAAATGAATAATATTGCACTTATTTTTTTAGGACTTTAAGAAACCAGTAGTTTTTATACAAGCTCTAATACAAGCCCGTGAATGGGTCTCGTTACCAGTTGCATTACATGCCATTAACAAATTAGTTACGGATATCGATGATCGAGATCTTATTAATGATATTGATTGGATCATACTACCAATAGCCAATCCGGATGGATACGAATACACCAGGGTAAATATATGTACAATTGTTACTTTTTATGTTATTTAAATTAAAGGTAAAGAAAAAATAAACGTGCATCAATTGATATGTCTGACATACTCTCCGGTGAAGGAAATATAATCTAACCATAAATTAATCTGAGAGACGGTGCGGCGGCGATAGGCTCATTCCAGCCACGTTAAAAAATATTCCGAGCGAAATGTGGACATGTCATGTGTTATTTACACCACAACATCGACAGTTGACAATACCTGGTATAACGGTAGCCACAATAGGTTCTTTGATGGTACAGTAGAATATTTTGTACCAATAACCAAATGTCTGTAAGAGGTTGGATCACCTTTTTGCTTGTAACATTTCTATATCTTTTTAAGATTTATGTATAATATGCAAAAATATAGAAGTACTATAAGCAGCGTAATAAAGCAGTGAAGTTACAGATTACTCGTGTTTTCGTAATATCTTAGTCGTCTGGAATAACCAAGCGCAGATTTCTGTATTAGCTGTATTTGCTTATTTAGCTTTATTTGTAAATCTTGCATACAGAACTGCAGTATGATACAATATGTCACTGGTCGTTTTCACTCTCAGTTTCTATAAGACATTATTATGAGAACAAATCACAAAAATATAAGTGAAAGAAATCTCCATAATGAGCTATTAAAATTAGATTGTTGCCTATGTTTAAAAAGATAAATCAATAAGTGAAGGATTTAGTCCAGTAACAGAATATTAAAGGCTTATGATGTTGATATTGTCAACTGTTTTGTGTTTATGAGCATCATTATGTTCTCTATTTACACATATATTATTGCATTTGTAAAAAAATTTCTTAAAATATTTTTATTTCTATAGATCTAAATACATACACTAATGTTAAAACTAATCTATACTTAACATTAGTTCTGAGAGTAAATTCCGAGAAAACCAATAATAATGTTTATGTTTAGAATTAATATTAAAACTATATATATTATTTGTTATAAACAGACTGCATCAAGACTGTGGACTAAAAATCGACGTGTCCATGACGATGAATGTGTCGGTGTCAACATCAATCGTAATTTTAATATACGACATTCGGGAACAGGATCCAGTAATAATCCCTGTTCAGACAACTACCGTGGAAGTGAACCAGAATCCGAGATGGAAACACAAGCAATACGTGATATATTAACATTACATCAAGGGCGTATAAAATTGTTCTTAAATTTACAAAGTTTTGGTAGTCATGTTTTATATGGACACGGCAATTTAAGTTTGCCGCTTAACGGATTAATATTAAACTTCCTTGCGGTTCAAATGGCTGCATTACAAAATTCCATACCAAATGATAAAGATAGAGATTACATTGTTGGCAACATCGGTTCAATATTGGGAGACCAACCTGGCATCGCAATAGACTTTGCGACAGAACAACGATATGTAGGTTACTCTTACACAATTAATATAGCAAGTTACGGAAATGGTGAAAGTATAGATAATGATAATGGATATCTAGTCGACGCAGACAATCTTGAGGAGGCTGCCGAGGAGGTATGGGAAGCCATTAGATACAGTGCTAGGTTTGTACGCGACAATGATTTTAATATTTAAATAAAATGTTAGTTTATTGACAATTAAATATTTAAAAAAGTGTTGAATTATTATTTATTGTAGCTATTCATAAATAGCCTAATGTGAATATTTCTCAATAAAAGTACATTAAAGGATCTAACAATTTTATATTTGATTAATGCAATAATAAAATTATTACCGATAACATTTGAAATATGAAGAAACATAAAATAGTACGTATTCTAGGTACAATATAGTAACACTATCACAACACATGCTTATTGAAACTGTATTGAACAACACGAATAGTTATACGTTAAATACATAATACATAATAATAATCTTCCATATTATGATAAATTAATATCCCATCACAATGACTTGCTTTTTCTAAGTGGTAAACACGAACATCACCGAGGACATCACGAAGTCTTGGTAGTAAATTAAAAAAAAAAAACTTCTGCAAGGGCACTTCTGAGTCACCTATGTCAACCACTGCTTTATAACCTATGTTACAAAGCATGTTAATGAGTGAGATATGGTATTGAAATGATAATATCTCAGGACAATTCACACAGCGCTATCTAGGTCATGCTAGGCAAAGTTAGTATTATGACTGCTATGATCCTAACTTAGATAAATTTCTTTTGTAATACATACATAATATACATAGAAAACACCGAAATCACAACAGTAACAATACAAACTCTTAAATATAAATGTACCTGCCATGCAAGAAATCGAAGCCGCAACCATCGAATGTAAGGCGACGTGATGAACCGCTACCATTGAGGTGAACGAAATTACAAGAAAGTGGCTCCGGAATGCCTCTGGCATTATATGAGGGTGTACTGTCCATGGTGTTATTCTTGTGTATTAGCGATGCTTGCTACTTAGGTACCGTCAGATTCGTCAGAGTCATTAGAAGTATATCAATTATCTGTCTATGTATCATTATTGGGAGAGGTTAAAATACACCGATAGCATCCTGAGGATGCTATCGGTGTATTTTGTGATTTGATAGCGTTGATCATAAAACACTTTTACACAAACTAGAATAGTACGGTATTAGAAATAAAGCTCCAAAAATGATCAAAACCTATTTAGATAATAAAATACAAAATGTTGAAATAAATATTGTATCTATCTAATGATAAAATGGGTGTTCCTCTGGGATCTATTCTAGGGCCTTTTTTAACTTTAGTTTACTTAAATGACCTTCCTTACATACTAGAAAAGATAGCAGATGTAGTTCTGTTTGCCAATGATACTTCATTAATACTGAAAGTCAATCGACGTATTAATATCATGGACGAAGCAAACAGTGCTCTCTCTTCTGTTTTAAAATAGTTTGCTGCTAATAACATGCTATTAAAAGCAAATGAAACAAAGTGATGCAAGGAAGGTAGGTAGGTAGGGTAGGTACTCAAAAGTCGTATTTAACAATAAAGTTATTCATTTTTTTGATAATACTGAACATATTTCTAGATATCACGTTAGTCTCCAAACTGCAATGGTGTGCACATATTTCTAAATTGGCGAACTGACTTACATAGTTCTGTAGCTTATGCGGTATGAAGAATTAGGCAATTAACAGGTGTGGCAAGCTAAACTTATCCTCTTTAAATATTTTCATAGTATTATGTCGTATGGTATTATATTATGGGGCAAAGTAGTTGATATAAATACAGTATTTATTTTGTAAAAGAGGGTCTTCTGTTCCATTTATGGTACGGGTTCCATAGGAGTCTTTGCGAGAGTGGTTTAGAGAATCAAATATCCTTATAATTGCTTCTCAGTATATTTACGAAAATATCATGTATGCCAGATAAAATATTGACATACAATAACAACAAACTAGTTTTACCTAAGTGGCGTTTGACGAAAGTTAGTAATTAATTTTAGGGAAATTGCGTAAGGTTTTAGAACAAATTGTCTGAGTCTGTACTCAATTTGTCAGAAAAGAGAATCAAATGTCGTATAACATTTGGTTTGTAAAAATTATTATTATAAAATTAAAGAGATTATAAATGATAATATTGTTTTTGTAGAAAAAATCTAACGTAAAATTCATAGCGCTGACAATGTTAACTGTTTGCACAAAGATTGAGTACGTAGCGGTTTCTATGTTGATTGCATCCTGCCTAATCCTTGTTGATGAATATTTACTTAGAACAACATTTATTTAAAACAGTAACAGGCAATTTTTGATTCATTCTTTTTATGATTCCAAATGAATGGTAGAAAAAAAAATGAAAATAAACACGCGCGAAAGAGTGATTACAAAAAAATCGAGAGCGCCTCTGATCGCGCGTGAAGAAATGTGTCGTGTAAAGGCAACTAGTAGTACATACATAATATAATAGAAAACACTAGTACAAACACACAGTGTGCTTCTGTTTCATTAGAGATAAGTTATAAAGGCAGTGAAGGTTAGAAGACGAAGAACCCAGAGAAGAACAAAGGTTTGATACGAAGTGGTGATCACGGGACTGCAGTGCGTAGTAAATTCAAAGTTTCGGTGAGATGAGGTGAAGTTGTTTATGATTGCTAGTTATTACGAGCAAGAGAGCCGTTATGTTAACAAATTTAAAATTGAATACATTTAATATTATATCTAAACAAACGATCACAAATAAATAAAATAAATTTGATGAATTTTAACTTTTTAAGCTAGAATATCTATACTCATATTATAAAGAGGTAAAGTTTGCAAGTTTGTTTGTTTGGGAAAATCTCCGATTCTGTTGATCCGATTCTAAAATTTCTTTCACTGTTAGAAAGGTATATTATTCTCGAGTGTTATAAGATATATAACATCACGTTACGACCAGTAGGAGCGGAGTAGCAATGAAAAATGTGGCAAAAAATATTCATTTTGACTGCTTCCGCTGCGTATGCTGCAAACGGTCAAAGTTATGCAAAAAATATGTATGACGGAATCATTCTCCTTTGAAAGTTCTAAAAAAGTCCTCAGGTCCTCAACAACATATCTTGTATCTTTAAGATTTACTCACTATAATCTTTTCTATGGTAAGCAAATTTCTTCCAAAACAAATGCATTATTTTATATCGTTATCCAAATAAATACGTCATTTATTATAAGTATTTAATCTTACAAAAATGTTTTTTTTTTAATCTTGTACGATTAAAAAAAGTCGTTTGATTTCAACGAATACTTTATGAGATAGCTTTAAAAAAAAAACCTCAAATATCGGGCCGTGCGAATCCGGGGTGGGTTGATATTCGATATAACAAGTGATTTAGAGTTTAAAAATGTAGTATAATAAAAGGAATAGAAAGATACGTTTTATAATAAAATATTTTTGTAACAATATTTCACCTCCTGTCCATTCCATCATTTTAATTAAGGCATAAATATAATATTCAATTAACTATATAGAGTTGCATTTGACCATGTCTGTGTCATGTGTTTTCAATGCACACAGCATTGAAAACACCCAAAACAGAACCGGCGACCATCGGCAGTAAATCGGTGTGGTAAACCGCCAGACTACCGAGGCCGTCAATAATAAACACGCCGCGTTATGATATCGTAAGATAACAACAAAGATCGTAATCAGATTATTTAGTATACATTAATAAATTAACTGATAAGTATAATAAAGTCAAAAAGTATATAAAGACATGAGTCGTAGTATGTTTCGGTATTTACAGTTTTAAAATGGCTTCAAAAATTGACAGTTTTCTTGTTACATTTGCTCTGGTGGCTGCCACATTGAATGCAGAAGATGGGTAAGATAGTTATTAATAATTATTATATTATTATATTTCGCCCAATTTACTTAATATGTTTTTAAATTATAGCTATACTTAGACTATCTCATGATACCTTTATAAACTTACTAAGGTCTAAAATACATATGATTTAAATTAACAGGTAAGTGATACGAAGCTCACCGGGTTATCTAGCCTGTGATTAATATATTTGTTAGATTCACAAACAAAAGTATTTGACAATACATAAGCAATTTTTGTATACAGCTAAAAATTTTGTAAGTTTTAGTTATAACTAGTTGACCCGCTTAACTTCATTAACGTCGCATTTCCTAGTCTTTGCAATATTTTTCATTGCAGCTCCGCTCCTACTAGTCGTATCGTGATGTTATATAGAAGCTGTAACTTAACCTCTTTATAATATGATTAAAAATTGTATACGTTAAATTAATGATATTTATTTAAGGTGTACTCTATACGAGGTTGCAGCGAAAAATTTAGAAGAGAGAGAGATATTTAGTGAACTGGTCAATAAGCTAAATTTAGATGTGTGGTCTCCTGCAATGCCTGAACGTTCAGGACGAGTATTGGTACTTAAAGATCAAAGAGCGACATTTGAAAATGAGTTCACTGCGGCTGGAATACAATACAAAGTTGTAGTGGAAAGAATGGAAGAGTATGTATTAGTCATTTTTTTAATCAAATATTTTAAGTCCATTGGTCAAATTACAAATCTAAAAGATGTAATAGAATGATACTTTTAATTGCTGTTAAACATTTATTTATCGACCGTACAAGGATTAATATTTTTAATTGTAATTGGAGTAGTAAGTAATCTCGCGAACCAACTGATGATCCCAAAAGTACTCATGTTATCATGTGATAACCGTGATATCATACATAGTTTATGAAATGAGTAAAATTATTTGTATTTTTATATAATTGGAGTAACAAATAATGTGGCGATCCACCTGTTGAGCCCAGAAGCACTGCGGACATCACGTTAAGCATATATTAGTCATGATCCATCATCTGAGATGTGTAAGATGTTACGCTCTTTGTCAAATCATTTCACGAGGACGGCATGTCCAGTTAAAATTGAATATATCTATACGTTTATAAATTGATTGCATGAAGAATATGAAAAAAATAATGATGTCGTGACTGTCTTGAAATTTGGAGGACTCATCTTTAAAACTACAATATATGGGGTAGTAAAATTACAGATTACGGTAGTCCTTTGATAAGGTAAAGATAATTCAAGAGTTATGTAACGACGTTGGTATGTATTATACTGTACCTGTATATAGGCTATCGTACATACCCACGCAAGTCGGCTAGTTTGCTATTAAAATTGTATAATAATAAAATATGAACCTTGCACATAATTTCGTAAAAGCCGCCAAAAGACCTATAATTTCTTCTGGGATACCTTTAGCTGAAATACTAGAGAAATTACATGTATGCTCATTACAGGTATATTAACAAACGGTAAATACAAAATAAGAGTGTAGCGTGTTTCTTCAACGTACTATATTATTGGTAATTTGGTTATCAGTCGTCATATAACCAATCCAGTTTTGTCTTCGTCAGTATCTCCTATTACTTGCGATCTTCTGCCATTTATATTGCGTTATATTGTAAGTTGGACTTTGTTTCCGAATTTAGCCGGGGGATCCAAACACGACAGCTCAATCGAGTAGGCTGTTATGAGTGGATCTTCTGTATTAATTAATTTCTAGTTAGCTGCTTAATATTCATCCATCGAACAGTACAGCACCTGATATACCGTAGTCCCCTACTGTACTTTACATTCCGTACGGTTACTTGATCATTTAAACATTACATATATGTAAATTTGGTTTAACTGCTTCCGACTGTACCATTTCCCATCAGATCGTTATTAATGGTATGCATAAAAAATTTCTTACTTAAAAAAAACTGGAATATTTTATGACTTTTTAAGACTAATCGAACTGGAGCGGAGAAAGTTATCTTTAGCTGCCAAGATAACAACTACAAGCAATAGAATTATTCCAATTGATAGGATGCATTCATATGATGAGGTAATTGGTAATAATGTTAATTTTCTATTTAATATTTGAAATACATTTTGAATTATTCTGAATTATATTATATTAATAGAAATTGTACAATTAATTCAATTTGAAGGTCAACGATATTCTGGATAATTTAGCAAAGGACTACGAATCCGTAGATGTGTTTAGTCAAGGAACCACTTTGGAAGGTAGACCAATTAAATATATTAGAATATCGTCGACGAAGTTCATGGTGAGATATAAATTATTTCATAAATATTATGTAATTTGTTGCAGCTTTAGAATAGTTAATTATGTACTTTTATGATAAGAAAAAATAAAAATACAATGAATAATATTGCACTTATGTTTTTAGGACCATGAGAAACCAGTAGTTTTTATTCAAGCTCTAATTCAAGCCCGAGAATGGGTCTCGTTACCAGTTGCATTGCATGCCATTAGCAAATTAGTTATGGATGTCTGTGATGAAGATCAAGACCTTCTTGATGATATTGACTGGATCATACTACCAATAGCCAATCCGGATGGATACGAATACAGTAGGGTAAATATATATACAATTATTACTGTTTATGTTATTTAAATTAAATGTAAAGAAAAAATATATAAAAGTGCATTAATTGATATCTCTGACGTACTCTCCGATGAAGGAAATACAATCAAATCATAAATTTGTCTGAGAGACGGCGGTAATCTGGTTCCAGCCACGTTAAATTAAAAAATATTCCGAGCGAAATATGGGTAAACAACATCGACAGTTGACAATACCTACTACTACCTACCTAGGACAACGGTAGTGACAATATGTTTAATTAAAGGTTCTTTGATGGTTTAATCCACTGACATGTCGGTACAGTAAAATAATTTTTACCAATAAACGTCTGTCCAAATAAATGTCTGTAAGAGGTTGGACTATCTTTTTTCTTGTAACATTTCTATATTTTTTTTAGATTTATGTATAATGTGCAAAATTAAAAAAATACCTCTATAAGCAGCTTGATAAAGCAGTAAAGTTACATTACTCGTGTATATATGATTTCTTAGTCGTCTCCAATAGCAATGCCTTAGCTAAAGATATGTTGACACGATGTCGCTGGTAGTATTTATATTATTGTATGTACATAGTCAAGTAATTTTTTTTATGACTGACCACTGCCTTTTAGTTATCGTCATTTCTTTCTGTCTCTACTTAAATTATATCCTTTAATGACAAATGAAATATATCTTACCTTAGTTCTGAGAGTAAATACCGAGAAAAGCAGTAAAGAATTTCTAGACATACTTTGTTCAAACGAGATTCAATATAATAATGTTTATGTTTAGAATGAATATTAAAACTATGTATATTATTTGTTATAAACAGACTGTATCAAGACTGTGGACTAAAAATCGACGTGTCAATGACCATGAATGTGTCGGTGTTAACATCAATCGTAATTTTAATATACGACATTCGGGACCAGGATCCAGTAATAATCCCTGTTCAGATAATTACCATGGAAGTGAAGCAGAATCCGAGATAGAAACACGAGCAATACGTGATATATTAACATTACATCAAGGGCGTATAAAATTGTTCTTAAATTTACAAAGTTTTGGTAGTCATGTTTTATTTGGATACGGCAATGTTAGTTTGCCGCCTAATGGATTAATATTACACTTCCTTGCTGTTCAAATGGCTGCATCCATACAAAATTATAAAGATAGAAATTACACCGTTGGAAACATCGGTTCAATATTAGGAGAACAACCTGGCATCGCAACAGACTTTGCAACAGAAGAACGATATGTAGGTTACTCTTACACAATTAATATAGCAAGTTACGGAAATGACGGTAATATAGATAACAATAATGGACATCTAGTCGAGGATCTGTATCTTGAGGAGGCTGCCGAGGAGGTATGGGAAGCCATTAAATACAGTGCTAGGTTTGTACGCGACAATGATTTTAATATTTAAATAAAATGTTAGTTTTTTGACAATTAAATATTTAAAAAAGAGTTGAATTATTATTTATTGTACCTATTTATAAACAGCCTAATGTGAATATTTCTCAATAATAGTACATTAAAGGATCTAAGAATTTTATATTTGATTAATGCAATAATAAAATTTGAAATATGAAGAAATATAAAATAGTACGTATACGTATTCTAGGTACAATATAGTAACACTATCACAACACATGCTTATTGAAACTGTATTGAACAACACGAATAGTTATATGTTAAATACATAATACATAATAATAATCTTCCATATAATGATAAATTAATATCCCATCACAATGACTTTTTTTAAAGTGGTAAACATAAACATCACCGAGGACATCAGAAAGTCTTGGAAGTAAATTAAAAAAAAAACTTCTGCAAGGGCATTTCTGAGTCATCTATGTCAACCACTGCTTTTTTGTAACCTATGTTACAAAGCATGTTAATGAGTGAGATATGGTATTGAAATGATAATATCTCAGGACAATTCACACAGCGCTATCTAGGTCATGCTAGGCAAAGTTAGTATTATAACTGCTATGATCCTAACTTAGATAAATTTCTTTTGTAATACATACATAATATACATAGAAAACACCGAAATCAAAACAGTAACAATACAAACTCTTAAATATAAATGTACCTGCTGTGCGAGAAATCGAAACCGCAACCATCGAATGTAAGGCGACGTGATAAACCGCTACCATTGAGGTGGACGAAATTACAAGAAAGTGGCTCCGGAATGCCTCTGGCATTATATGAGGGTGTACTATCCATGGTATTATTCTAGTCTATTAACGATGCTTGCTACTTATGTCACCGTCAGATTGTTAGCCATTAAAAGTATATCAATTATCTGTCTATGTCTATTATTGGGGGAGGTCTCAGGTTGCTATCGGTGTATTGTGTGATTTGATAGCGTTGATCATAAAACACTTTTACACAAACTAGAACATTACGGTATTAGAAATAAAGCTCCAAAAATGATCAAAACCTATTTAGATAATAAAATACAAAATTTGAAATAAATATTGTAAGCTCCGAAGGATCTAATGATAAAATGGGTGTTCCTCTGGGATCTATTCTAGGACCTTTTTTAACTTTAGTTTACTTAAATGACCTTCCTTACATACTAGAAAAGATAGCAGATGTAGTTCTGTTTGCCAATGATACTTCATTAATACTGAAAGTCAATCAACGTATTAATGTCATGGACGAAGCAAACAGTGCTCTCTCTTCTGTTTTAAAATAGTTTGCTGCTAATAACATGCTATTTAATGCAAATAAAACAAAGTGATGTAAGGAAGGTAGACTCAAAAGTCGTATTTAACAATAAAGTTATTCATTTTTTTGATAATACTGAACATATTTCTAGATAACACGTTAGTCTCCAAACTGCAATGGAGTGCACATATTTCTAAATTGGCGAACTGACTTAGTTCTGTAGCTTATGCGGTATGAAGAATTAGGCAATTAACAGGTTTGGCAAGCTAAACTTATCCACTTTAACTATTTTCATAGTATTACGTCGTATAGCCCTTCTCATATAATAAAAATATTCAAACAGTTAAATTAAAAAAATACGGAAGATCTCTGGGGCATGTCAGTTAAAGTAGTTAGTTCATTCATAGATATTGTTGCTCCTTATCTAGCTACTATTTTCAATAAATGTGTTGATAATGGCGTGTTTCCTCAATTAATGAAATTTAGGAAATTAATTCCACTGTTTAAATCAGGAGATAGCTTTGAGCTAGGCAACTATAGACCAATTTCTATTTTGCCAAATGTTAAAATACTGCAGGTATAACGGACTGCTTCACAGTCACCAATATGGTTTCACCGCCGGTAAGTCTACTACTGATGCAGGTGTAGCGCTTATTACACATATATTCAAATCATGGGAGAACTCACAGGATGCTCTCGGCGTTTTTTGTGACTTATCGAAGGCGTTTGATTGCGTAGATCATAAAACACTTTTGTATAAGCTCGAACATTATGGTATTAGAGATAATGACCTAAGTCTAATGAAAACTTATCTAAAGGATAGGGTGCAAACTGTAGATATTGATGGTGTAAAGTCTAAGGGAACTAATATAAAAATGGGCGTTCCTCAAGGTTCAATCTTAGGGCCATTTCTCTTTTTAATTTATATAAATGACCTTCCCTACATGGTACAGAAAGTTGCAGATATAGTGTTATATGCAGATGATACTTCGTTAGTGTTTAAAATTGATCGCCAATGTAATCATTTAGACGATGTAAATTATGCTATCTCTGCTATATTAAATTGGTTCACATGTAATAATCTATTATTAAACTCCAACAAAACTAAGTGTATTAAATTCACGCTTCCTACTCTACTGTAAGACAAGTAAATATGCAGCTATTGCTTAATGATGAAATAGTAAATTTTGTTAATGATACAGTTTTTTTAGGAATAACAGTGGACTCGAAGTTACAATGGGGGCCCCATATTTCAAAATTAGCCAGTAGACTTAGTTCTGCTGCTTATGCAATTAGAAGGATAAGGCAATTAACAGACGTGGCGACGGCAAAACTTGTATATTTTAGTTATTTCCATAGCATTATGTCATATGGCATACTGCTGTGGGGTAAAGCTGCCGATGTAAATACTATATTTATTTTACAAAAGAGAGCCATACGTTCTATTTATGGTACGGGTTCTAGAGAGTCATTACGTCAATGCTTCAAAGAATCAAATATCCTCATCGTTGCCTCACAGTACATTTATGAAAATATTATGTATACAAGGAAAACCTTAGATAGTTTGAAGAAACTTAAAGACTGTACAAGTAGAAACTTACGCAATAAAAATAAGTTAATTTTATCTAAATGCCGTATAGACAAAGTAATTCATTTTATGGTCATTGCGTAAGATTCTATAATAAACTGCCAGAATCTACGCTAAATCTAACAGAGAGGCAATTCAAACTTTATATTGAATTGTTTTTTTTTTAATCTTACAAAATCATTTGTTTTCAACGAATACTTTATGAGATAGCTTTATTAATAGAAAAACCTCAAATATCGGGCCGTGCGAATCCGGGGTGGGTTGATATTCGATATAACAAGTGAAATTTAGAGTTTAAAAATGTAGTATAATAAAAGGAATAGAAAGATACGTTTTATAATAAAATATTTTTGTAACAATATTTCACCTCCTGTCCATTCCATCATTTTAATTAAGGCATTAATATAATATTCAATTAACTATATAGAGTTGCATTTGACCATGTCTGTGTGCATTGAAAACACCCAAAACAGAACCGGCGACCATCGGCAGTAAATCGGTGTGGTAAACCGCCAGACTACCGAGGCCGTCACTAATAAACACGCCGCGTTATGATATCGTAAGATAACAACAAAGATCGGAATCAGATTATTTAGTATACATTAATAAATTAACTGATAAGTATAATAAAGTCAAAGTATATAAAGACATAAGTTGTAGTATGTTTCGTTATTTGCAGTTTTAAAATGGCTTTAAAAATTGTCAGTTTTATTTTTATATTTGCTCTGGTGGCTGCCACATTGAATGCAGAAGATGGGTAAGATAGTTATTAATAATCTTTATCCCTGCAACTTTGTCTTTATCACTTATCTTATCGTTATATTTCGCCCAATTTACATTATTGTCTTTTTGAATTATAGCATGTGTTATTTCAATGTGTACCATACGCTATATTACTGTCATGTTTCATCAAAACCCGTTCTGTAGTTTTTACGTGAAAGATTAATAAACATTCATCCACCCATCCATACTCACAAACTTTCGCGTTTATTAAGATTAGATTATTATTAAGATAGAATTTTTCTTCCAGAATCAGTCTACTGCTAAAAACTGCATTAAAATCCGTTGCGTAGTTTAAAAGATCTAAGCGAACAGATAGCCGAAACAACTGAATTTATACTACGTAAAGATTTGATAACTAAAAATATTATTATTTTAAAAGACAACAATAACAAACATAATTTCTTTGTGTAATCACAAAGAAATTATGTTTGTAATGTTGTATAAATTCGCTAATACTCATAACACAAGCTCTGCTTAATTTGGCAATAGATGGCGCTATGTCTATAGTCCAGGGATATTGTATAATATCTGATATATATAAAATTCTCGTGATGAATGGAAGCGAAAAACATATTACGCCGACCCCAAATAAATGGGATAAGGAAGAAGCAGATGATGATGATGATATAATATTCTCGTGTCACAATATTAGTTACCTTACTCCTCCGAAACGGATTGACCGATTTTTATGAAATTTTAAAAGCATATTCAGAAGGTCAGAGGTTAAAATCGGATCACAGATTTCCCCAAATAAAAAAACTTGCAAACTTTACCTCTTTATAATATTAGTATATATTCTAGCTTAGAAAAGTTAAAATTCACTAAATTTATATTATTTATTTGTGATCGTTTGTTTAGTAATAATATTAAACGTATACATTTTATTCAGTTTTACACAATATCATTCATTTATAGGTCGTAACATCTGTGCTAGAGAATCCCTGTAGTACAGATGTTATTTCCTTCCACAATGGTTGGTTCAATTACATAATTTTTACGTAGCTTTGACGTACTTTAATTTTTACTATCCGAATTTTAATCGACGTTGCCCAAAAGAGGATTTGCATGCTATTGTAGTAAATATTTTATCTTACCTACGTTTAGTATCTATTTCCTGTATGTATTGTTGAGCAGATACATGTTGGTATAGTATTATTTTTAATATATATAAATTTCTAACAATAAGATATTTCGTTTTGGCCTTAAAAATACAAGCTTAAATTTTCACCCTTCTATCACAACGTTTGCGGGATCAGTTTATTTTTTTATTTTTTTTATTGGGTTGTTTGGACTATTGTCAGATGTGTAGCAGCTGTAGCACTGCGACCTACATAGATCTATTGTGCTCGCTCTTTTTCAAAGTTCGCTACCTAGACCCGTCAGGGACAAGAATTGAAGGATATTTTTAGGAGCGATGGTTTTTATCTCCTTGGGAAAGTGTGTAAACTTTCTAAAGGAGATATTTCGTTTATGCATGAGTGGGCTACAGCCACACAGGATGTGAAGCGGCGTTTCCTCTTCAATTTGGCAGAATCTGCAGATTCTTGTCGTGCATAGGCGAGGTCAGTTAGTCTATATTATAAATATAAAAATGTAATGTTTCTTTCAGTTCCACCTTATACGAAATTGCAATTAAAAACATAAAACAGTTAAAGACAATTGGTGAATTGGAAAGAAAACTAAACTTGGATGTATGGTCCCACATATTGACATATCGTAAGGGATGGATACTTGTTGGAAAAGATCAAAGGATGTCATTCGAAAATGAATTTACTGCAGCCGGGATAGAACATAAAATTGTTGTGAACAACATGAACGAGTACGTATAATAATAAATAATAAGCTCAAGACAATTCACACAGCGTCGTCTAGTTAAGCTAGCTTCAAGTTAAGCTAGCTAAAACTTGTGTTATGGGTACTAAATAACTGATACAAATACATATACTATACTATATATTTTTTTGTAAATATATACATAGGAAACACTCAGACCGATACAAACAATTATACTCATGAATACATTATAATAAGAATTCTGGTAACGGTCTGCATATTTTCTTTGAATTTTATGTTTGTGTTTACAAAAAGTAAGTATTTATATCAAATCAAATCTAATCTAATCAAAATATCTTTCTTCATATAGGTATTACTCTTATGATATGTTAACTCTATTAGTTCGGGGTGCATTAACAAATAGTAGATGATAGATAGGTAGATACTATTTGTTAAAGAATCTACTATTATAATTATTGTTTTTAGATTATTTGAGCTGGAACGAAATCGATTAGCTGAAGCTGCCAATAGCAGTTCTGGTAGAAATGATAACGGTGGCATTGCAATTGACAAGATGTATACATACGAAGAGGTAAATGTTACAGTTTTAGTGGTAACGGATCTTTAAGTTTTACTTCTACCGACGATGATGATGTACAATGTTAATTTTATTTTTAGGGTTGCTCTTATACTGTGTGGCTTGCTAATTAAGGCTCACTAACCCACACCACTGTTCACAGCTTAATGCCCGTAAGACGCCAGCAGTGTGCGCTAGAGACGACATAATGCTTTCATCTCATTCCCACATGTACTACTCTTAAGAGCGCGGTTATACTACAAACCATTCTTCAGTTAGGAGTGTCCCTTTCTGTTGGCACTTCTTTTTCTATCAATCTTTCACGGAACGATCAGCTGAAGTATTCTGTGTACCTGAGTATATATATATATCAAGACAAAACTTGACATGTCGACAGTTGACAATATATCTGACTATCCTATCTGAATAACTTGAAGATATAAATATCGAAGATATTATCATCGCGAAAGTAAAATAGACAGAGGTCTATCTGTCGTTTTGAACGCAGCCGATTTAAATGTTGACGCGATGTCGACAGTTGTCAATATATCTGACTATCCTATCTGGAATCCAGTCTTGAAGATATAATATTATTGTTAATAAAGATTATTATTTCTCTAAGGTAAACAATTTTCTTGAAGAATTGGCCAGAAACCACCCGTCTGTGGATTTCTTGAAGAATTGGCCAGAAACCACCCGTCTGTGGATGTATTAAGCCAAGGAACTACCATCGAAGGCAGACCCATTAAATATATCAGAATATCGTCCACAAATTTTATGGTTAGACGTTTATAATATTTTTTTTATAAATTTTATTCATCTCTACTGTTATCTAATTACCATATAAATAATATATTTTTGTGTTGATAAATCAATGACATGCACCCTGATGGATGGATTATGTGAACGATGATATAATAACAATAATATGTGTATAACGAGAAGATTGAGAATAAAGACATCCTAATGAATGGGATGAAGAAGAAGCAGATGACGATGAACCTGGTGGCAAGTGGTAACCTAATGCATCCCGTTTAAAGATACCTTAAAATGTTTAAGCACACATTAGATTGATTTTAGTTTTAGTATATAGGCTTTCCCTACGACTCACCACCAGGTAACATCAGTATGTTTGTATTTTGATTACATAAAATAAGGCAGAGATCTAAATATAATATATGTAAGACTAGCTGACCCACGCCACTACATCAGCATCTCCTTCCCACCTTTTTTGCTACATTTTTCATGGTCCCCTACCATTTCATAGTGTGGTATCGTTATATAATCTACAGTCTTCCTCGTAAAATGAGCTATCCAACACTAAAAGAATTTTCAATATCGCTTTACGTATTTAGTATATTAGGTCCTAACATATGAAATTGTCGTTTTGTGAGGGAGTAACCTAAAGTCGATTTTTTCAAAATAAAATATATTTATTTAATCAAAGTATGTACCATTGCTATTTATGCACTTTTGCCATCTTATAGGTAATTCATTGATCACTTTACTAAAAAACCATTCGGACGGGATCAATAAAATATTTGAAGGCGCTTTGGACTGCCCCATTAGAGTTGAATGTTTTCCCTTGCAAGATTATCCAAATTTCGAAAAAAATAGTAATCTGTTGGAGCAATGTCCAGGGAGTACAATGGATGTCGTAGACATTCCAATTGAAGCTCTTCTAATTTAGTAACTGTCTGTTGTGCAGTGTGTGTCTAGCGTTGTCCGAAGCTGCAGTGGCCTACAGCGATTGACCAGCCTCAGTTGTCTAGAAGCTACTTTTTCCATCATTATTTGCTATCGCTGATAATACAACATATGCCGTAATCGTCTGGCCAGATTTAAGATGAGAGCCAAATGAAACAACTCTTCCCGGCACTAGTCCACCAAACGTTCAGTCGTAACTTCTTTTGAGTCAATTTTCGCTTGGGGCAGGATTTGCCTGGTTCGCCAGGGTTCAATCATTGCGATGAGCGTTTCCGATTGTCGTACAAGATCCAAAACTTTTCATTACGGTTGATATAATGTAACGCAGCAGTCTATACGCGTTTGTCCATTTGCTCCAGATGACAATTTTGTTGTGACTATCATGAGGGACACTGATTGTTTACAACCACCACCGTCTGTATCTTACTCGTGAGCAGAACGTTTTTTTTTAATTGTGAGGTTTGGGCTATTGTTAGATGCTTGGACCTGTAGCACTGCGACCTACATAGATATATTATGCTCGCCATTTTTTAGAGTTCGCTACCTAATTCCGTCAGAGACCCAAATTTAAGCATATTCTTGGGAGCGATGGTTTTTACTTCCTCAGCATAGACTGTAAACTTTTCAAAAGAGATATTTCGTTTATGCATGAGTGGGCTTCAACCACATAGGATATTTAGTGGCGTTTCAGCTTGGTATGACTTTAGTAACTCTTAAGCAATAGTATTGTGGTAAATATCTCATTTATTATAATGTGTATAAAAACAAATATATTCAATCTTTCACAGGAGTTTAATAAACCTGTAGTTTTTATACAAGCTCTAATACAAGCCAGGGAATGGATCTCGTTACCAGTTGTATTGCATGCTATTAACAAATTAGTTACGGATATCACTGATCAAGATGTTGTTGATGATATTGATTGGATCATACTACCAATAGCCAATCCGGATGGATATGAATTCAGTAGGGTAAATATTATTTCTTTATATTATTAGAAATGATAAAAATACATTAGTAGCAACCAATAACCCACATATAAATAATACCGTAATAAATAAGTAAATTAAATGGTGATGAAGGGAAAACACTTTATCTGTTTGTGTGTTAATGTATCACATAAAAATTGCTGGAGGAATTAAAATGAAATTTTCACAGAATATGATTTTTTATAAATTTACTTGTAATGGCAAACAATTTTAAAACTTTGTCGTGCCAATTTATATTTCTGACTGACTCTCCAGCAATGGAAACGCCGATAACAAACCAAAGTAATCCTATAGTGAGCAGTGAGGCTGTCTGCCTCATTCAATTCAAATTTCAATATCATGAGAAATGTTGGCATTTTAAAGGATACATTCTCCACAATGTTCACTGTAGACATTGCCAAACCTTTTCCCCGTATAAGGCGTGAAGGCGAAAGAGTAATCGTTTATTATAATTACGTAACCTAAAATAGACCTTTTTTTAATTTAACAGATATCGTCAAGGCTGTGGACGAAAAATCGACGTATTAACAACAATGAATGTATTGGCGTCAACATAAATCGTAATTTTGATGTAGAGTTCTATGAAAATCCTAGCACTAATCCATGTTCAGAAAATTTCCGAGGACAACGTGCAGAATCCGAAATAGAAACACGATCTATACGCGACATATTATTATTAAATCAAGGCCGCATACAACTGTTTTTAAACTTACAAAGTTTTGGAAGTCAAATTTTATATGGATTCGGCAATGGTATTTTACCCAGTAACTCAATTATATTGAATTTTCTTGCAGTCCAAATGGCTGAGACTAAAAATAATATACTTACTTGTAAGGATCATGATTATATTGTTGGAAATATAGCCAACGTTTTAGGACCAGAATTTGGCAGCGCTATGGATTACGCAACTCGCGCACGAGATGTACTCCATTCTTATACAATTAAACTTCCAAGTTATGGAAACGGTATAAATGTAAATAATGAATTAGGATATCTAGTAGATCCTAAATTCTTTGAGAAAGCTGCGGAAGAGGCGTGGGAAGCCATTAAGATTGCTGCGAGATTTGTACGTGATTTCGAATATCCTTCTCCTTAATATACGTACTAAATTATATGCCCATTATATTATATTATTCAGAAGAATAAAATTTTTCATAATATTACTTAGCGTTTTTTTATGTTACTGATGTAGCTTACAAGTGCATAGGTAATAATTACCACTCCCTCCTGAGGCTGAAAACCCTGAAAGGCCTTTCAGGGTCAGTGCCAATTATCGCGTATGCATGTTTCCAATTTATTTTGCCATTGGTATTGGCTCTCTTAACAACACTACAGGGGGCGTATTATGAACTCTTTAAAATCCAGTCAGTTTTCTGGCAGTTCAGTTTACGGCCTTGAACTGAATTGTTCTTTTCGTATTATGAGGGTCCAAATTCAAACCGTATTCTGCCTGGATAGTTTGTCTCTGGCTGGTTAGTGGATTTTCTCGCGCTGCGTTCGGATACGCATACATTCGTTGCAACGTTAAGTTGAGTTTTTGTGTATCACTTTTTGGACAAAATATTAATTAAATAAATGTAAATTAAATATAGAAAACAGTAATTAAGATACAATGGTAGAATTTGTGTAATATACAAAAATATTCCAGACAGTTTTATTGTCTTTTTTAATAATTCGGATTTATTTGTAAAAAATATTTTCATTATAATATCCAAACGAACTTTGTGCATCTACTTAAAATTCCGCGCAAAGTACTTAATTCTGATTTTAATGTACAATTTGAAACTTAGCCTTTCCATGACTTTATACGCAAGTTAAATTTAATAATTCAATTGTTGTGAAAAATATACCTAATGTAACGTAAGTATTCCTAACATTTTCTTAGTAATGTTTTTTTAAAATGATGCAAATATTTAAATGTTTATATTTGTATATTTATCTAACTAAATTGTAGATCACGGACTGAAACCTCTCGCCTACGTCGTGTATCGTACCGGTAATTTGAAATTATATGGGATTTTTAAAATCCCATAGGGAAATGGCAAGTGGCTTTAATAAGTCCGCCCAAGAAACCATACCAATCGCTTGTGTGAGGACGTCGCTCAACAATTACATAGGGGTTTTAAAGACTGGAAAGGATTGTCAAGTTTAAGTGTTATAAGGTAACCATCTGAATTTTAATTTATTTCATTTAATAGGAATCTCAGTAAAATCTGAAACACATGTATCTATGCAAATAAATTGAAGTATCTGTTTGTAATTTTGAAGTTCACCATACAACAGCTTTTCAGTAAATGCATACATATAGAAGGTAAGATAAATGACATTAAAAAAAAATAGTTGTCTGTCCATTTGTTTGTTCTTGCTAATCTTTGAAACAGCTGGGCCAAATTTGAGGGATACTTTCACTGTCATATGTAATGAGTTGTGTAAAGGAGTAACAAGTTGCTTTTATTTGAGATATTTTATTTATTTTAACAAAAACTAGGTATGCCATATGGACAAAGTCATAGGTATTACTAGTATATAATAAAATTATCATATCCCTTTAATTATAACTACCAATAAAAGACATAAATAATGTACCTATATCATTTATTATAAAAACAAATAATTAAAACATTGAGCTATTAACAATATTATTATTTATAAATGTTTCAATTTCTTAGTTCCACAACTAAACAACATGGGTTTGTCTAGCAGCTAGACCTTCATTTAGTTCTCTATAAGAGCTCAAAGTACATGTAGGCATCTAAATCTAGAAGCCCAATTGTGCTCTCAATGATATTCCATGTTCTTACAGTGTAATATGCTTCTTGTGGTCCTGATATAACATTTGAGATGGGAGTATACTTCTCCAAAGCATATCCTGGATCTCCTAAAAAAAAAAACAACATATTATATACTATAATATTAATATTTATTTACAAAAAGTATTATTTCATTAAAAACACAGCACAATAACTGTTGGTGCTGATAAATAACTATGTTTCTAAATTACTGAAGTTTAGAGCTTAGATTTAATGATGTTTATAGTTTCATAATAAAATTTTGTGCTTACCAAGTAATCATAAGGATTTATTCCAGCTTAAGTCCTCTAGATGTTGCCTAATATTGCTTTGCCCAAATGTCATGAGTAGCTCCAGTTCCAGTTGGCATCCACACTTATAATCTCCATGTCAGCATTACTAACCTAAATTTTTTTTCCAGATTAATTACATAGATGAAGATTATTTGAAACATAAGAGAATAATTAATGGATAAATATTATTTGAAACATATGTCTAAGTGTTATGGTCATTTAATATTTAAGTAAACAATTTATTGTTAGTATATAAGTAGCTTTAGAGATGTATAATCATTAACATATTTTGCATGTCTAAAATCTTGTTTATTGTTAATGTATATAATTATATTAAAAAAAAAGATATTAAAAGTGCTTATATTATTAAACATGTCTTTTAATTTATATTTCACTTACCAATTATATATTTAATGAATGGTATTGTTTTCTACAGTAATATCTCTTCTTAATTTACAATGGGGTGGCATGTGTACAGTCAAATACAGCCCAATACACCCAGCATTCCAAATTCCAATTATAAAACCTAAAATATAATTAATTTAATTTAATTAATTGTCCTCGGAGGAAAGTGCCGGAGAGACTGCACATCATCAGACTGTTGTATACTTGTATACTTGCTTTCTAGGCTTTACTTGTATGCATACATTTTACCATATATATTATCACTATATCATATGGTATGTTACATGGTACTCATAGAGTTGCTAATTGTATAGAAATAGATACCTTTGAATATTTATTATCTATCCTTTACTCAGATGTCCTTGGAATTTTATATATGTATTTACTTTTGGATGTATGAACGATGGGTAAATGCAATAAATCGGTTATTTGCCATTGGCTGTACTAAAGAATGAACAGCAATATCACTAATAGGCCGTTGATAAATATGCCTGTAGCATAAATAATAATCCTACTAAAACCTGACATAGTCAGCTAGTGATTTAGTGAAATAATTACAATACATTATACCTTAGTTTCCACTGGTAGGTCTGTAAATTTCGATGATACCGGCATATGAGTTCGCACGCATATTACGCACCAAATCTTTATTTAGATTATAACGTTTTCTAAATTGTTCATTTTGATTGGATTGGTCGCGTAATCACCGTCTTTTCACTTTCCTTACTTCTTTTTCGTAGGGTGCACACATTTCCAAAAACTCCAATACTTCGAGTTCATCACACATAATTAAAATTAAAACGAAACAAAAACAATCGAAATAACTGCACAAACATGTTTTAAACATAATAAAAACTGACATAGAAATAGAAATAATAACCAAATTACAATAATGAAGCTATAAATTAGAAAACAATTCTATAAAAGCTAATATGAAGCCACCGTAAACTGAATTGTTTTTAAACGGTCTTTTTGACAGTTGCGTCCGCTTAGATCTGTCAAATGAAACGCTCATAATACGAAATAGCCGGTCAGTTTTCGGGCAGAAGACGTTCAGCTGTCACGTGACCGCTGACTGGCTGGCTAATAGCGTTCGTAATACGAAATCGCCAGGCAGTTCAGTTTAAGCCGTAAACTGAATGGGAATAAGAGTTCATAATACGGCCCCAGGTGGCTATTTTGATAACTAAATTATTTATCTTGTACTTTAATTATTGGATTCGGCGCGGCGGATAAAAATCAACAGTGTGACGAGAGTGTCCGTTACAATCTCTAAGAGTATTGGGATTCTCGGTGTCGACATCTCTAGTACTGTTGAGTTCCGCAGTCACCTTGAAGAAAAGGTGAAGCTGGCATTCAAAAAGCTTGGTGTGCTCAATAGAGCGAAGTCTCTGGTCCGGAGTGAAGCGGTACTTCACTGCGGACCAGAGACTCCTCTTATATAAGTCTCAGGTTCGGCCGCACATGGAGTAGGTACTGCTCTCATCTTTGGGCAGGAGAACCTGGATACCAGCTCGGTTCTTTTGACTCGATTCAGAGACATGCTATGAGAATCAGTCGATGATCCCGATCTCTGTGGCGGTATCTAACCACTTAGCTTGAGGTGAGACTTCGCTTCGGTTTGTATGTTCTACCGAATATACCATGGACTGTGTTCTGAAAAATTGTTCGACATGATGCACACAGCTACCTTTTATCATCGCACTGCTCGCCATCGACAGGGAATTCATCCTCACAAGGTAGAACCTAAGTGGTCTCGGACAGTGCGGATACAGACGGGCGTTTTCCCAAATAACTGTTTAATTTCGAAAAAGACAGGTCCTTTACATCGTTTGATTTCAACGAACACTTTAGGAGATGTCTTAGTTTTAATTATAGAAAAACCTCAAATATTGGGCCCGTGCGTCACTGGCTATAACAAATAAGGTTTAAAGTTTAAAAACGTAATATATTATAAGCCAATTAGAACGATAGAAAGATTTACATTTTAAAATAAGATTTCATCTCCTGTCCATTCTATCATTTCAATTAAGGCATAAATATAATATTTAATTAACTATATTGTTTCCATTCAACTGACACTGTACAATTTAAATTTTAATAACAGTTTGTGCTGGGCTAGCCCTTAGGCAGTGAATATTGTAGTCAAGCTTTAGAAGACAAGGTTCTGCATCGGTTCTAGTGGAGTCAAGCCTTCAAAACATCGTCCCCGCCATCAACTGACAACGGAGGCAATCCCTTCCAGGCCCGACCCTATATAGTCGCGAGCAAAAGTATGGAATCACTAACTTGGAATTGATTCCGCGTGATCTTAAATACTTAAAAACTAGTTAAGAATTATAAAAATGGTACCATTTTAAAAGTAAAACTGTTAACTTTAAATTGATACCTAATTCATATAAATTACGTATTTATTTAACAATTCATCCCAGATTATATTGTGAAGAAGTAAGGAAAAAGTTTGTTTGATACGTCATGAGTTGCGGCCTATTGCCCCCTATAACAAATACAAGCAGCTAGACCACCGAGGCTGTCAATAACAAACACGCCGCGTTGTGATATCGTAAGATAACAACAAAGATCGTAATCAGATTATTTAGTATACATTAATAAATTAACTGATAAGTATAATAAAGTCAAAGTATATAAAGACATAAGTTGTAGTATGTTTCGTTATTTGCAGTTTTAAAATGGCTTCAAAAATTGTCAGTTTTGTTGTTATATTTGCTCTGGTGGCTGCCACATTGAATGCGGAAGATGGGTAAGATAGTAATGAATAATTATAACAACTTCGTCTGCATCACACCTATTTGACATTTATTGTTATATTTAGCCCAATTTACTTAATATGTTTTTAAATTATAGCCTGTGTTATTCTGACGTATAAGCTATATTATCGTTATATTTCATCAAAATCCATTCAGTAGTTTTTGCGAGAAAGAGTAGCAAACATCTTTCCACCCATACACACAATATCATGTTTTTCACATTAAAAATATCTATATAAAAATAGAATATAATTCACAGTTCCACCTTATACGAAATTGCAATTAAAAAAATAAAACATTTGAAGACAATCGGTGAACTGGAAAGAAAGCTAAACTTGGATGTATGGTCCCACGTATTGACATATCGTAAGGGATGGATACTTGTTGAAAATGATCAAAAGATGTCATTCGAAAATGAATTTACCGCAGCCGGGATAGAACATAAAATTGTTGTGAGCAACATGACTGAGTACGTATAATAATAAATAATAAAAATAAAATCAGGACAATTCACACAACGCCTTCTTGTTAAGCCAGCTAAAGCTTGTGTTACGGGTACTAGATAACTGATACAAATACATATATATTTTGTAAATTTGTATCTAGAAAAAAAATATCTAATTATTTATATCAAATCAAATCTAACAAAATATCTTTATTCATGTAGGTCTATTACAGACTCTTATGATATGTTAAATCTACTACTAGTTCATAGTGCTTTCGAGTAAAAGAAAACTGACAAGAAACTCAGGTCTTATTCTTTTCAAATTCTAGATGGCGTTGTGTGAATAGTCCAGGGTCGTTTTTATGCTAACAGACACTAGATTCGATTTACTGATGAAGTGACGGAAATAATTTGTATTTATGAAAATGGAATAGTAAATAAGCTGGTGGGTCACCTGATAGTAACTAATTAACTAGGTAACCTAGTAGTTCATTCAACAATCTAAGTGTACGCGGCAGGAAGCTCCTCTGCAACCGCACTATCCGAGGTCAGTTAGATTCCAGCATGTGGGAATGTAACAGACGTGTTGATGACTATTCAAAAAATTACTTTTATTAACATAATAAAATTTATTAATATTGTAATTTGTAGATCTCTTACGATTATTCTTACAAACACTATTCTATGCATGACTAATTCTAATTGTCTTAATGGTTTAAGATACACATACTGATCAATTATTTAAATTATTAAAAGGATCAATCATTTTCATTAGACAATGATTTATTCAGCTATTAAAAAATAGTAGATAAGGGTATATATTTCTTATGCTGAATCTACTACTATAATTATTGTTTTTAGATTATTGGAGCTGGAACGAAATCGGTTAGCTGAGGCTGCCAATAGCAGTTCTGGTAGAAATAATAACGGCGGCATTGCAATTGACAGGATGTATACATACGAAGAGGTATAGGTTATAGTTTTAGACGTAAAGGATCTTTAAGTCTCACTCCTACCGAAGATGATTATGGACAGTATGATGTCAATTTTAATGTTGCTCTTGTACTATTTGTCTTGCTAATTAAAGGCTCACTGACCCACACTACTGTTCACAGACGCTGTTCATAGCTCAGTTAATGCCCGCATGACGCCAGCAGTGTGCGCTAGAGACGACATAATGCTTTCTTCTCTTTCGCACATGTACTATAACGCTGAAGAGCGAAGTTATGCTACAAACCATTCCAGCAGTTTCTTCAGTCAGGAGTGTTCCATACTGCTAGCACTTCCTTTTCTAACAATCTTTCACGGAACGATCAGCTGAAGTATCCTATATACCTGAGTTGATACTCAGGTATATAGGATACTTCAGGTATATAGGATAACTCAGAGTTTAAGGTGCAGCATTCACGATGCGATGTCGACAGTTGTCAATGTATCTGACTACCCTATCTAGAATGACAGTCGTATTGGTATATTATTATTGTTTCTTTAAGGTAAACGATTTTCTTGAAGAATTGGCCAGAAACCACCCGTCTGTGGATGTATTAAGCCAAGGAACTACTGTCGAAGGCAGGCCCATAAATATATCAGAATATCGTCTACAAAGTTCATAGTAAGATGTTTATATTTTTTTTATAACTTTTATTTTTCTTTGTTATTATCTATCAGATATTACAATTACCATATAATTTGTTTTGTTGATAAATCAATAACATAGGTTGCATGTTATTGATTTATCAACAAAAAAAATTATATGATGGTTGAATTATATGAACGATGATATAATAATAATACCTCTGGACAATTTATACTACGGCATCCATATTCAAGCTAAGCAGAGCTTGTTTATGGGTACTCAGATACAATAGTATTTTTTGTAAATAATTAAATAATATACATAGAAAATAGTCAGACTGTTACAAACAATCATACTCATAATTACAATTTGTTTTGTACCGTGCTAGGAATCTAACCCGCGATCATCAGAAGTAAAGGACCACCGAGGCCACCTAGCTGGATATGACGAGGAAGTAAGTGTATAACGGGTAGATTGAGAATAAGGATGGATGGAAGAGGAAAATATATTACGACTATCCCCCATAATTAATAGGATAAAGAAGAAGCAGATGACGATGAAGCTGGTAGCAAGTCCATCTGACATAATACCTTTATGTGACGTTCTAATGCGTCCTGTTTAAAGATACTCTAGTGTTCAAGCACACTTTAGAGTATAGGCCCTTACCATCCCTTACCATTTACCACCAGGTAGCGTTAGTTTGTTTGCTATTTCGATTGTCAGATATGCTGACATACGCCACTACATCAACGTCTCGTTTTGCCCGTTTTAGCTACATTTTCTTGGGCCCAGACTATTTCATTGTCACCTATTGGTAGTAGGGTATTGTTATAGTCTTCTTCGATAAATGGGCTATCTAACTTAAAATGAATTTTCAAAATCGTTTACCTAACCTACACACCTCTATAACCTTACAAACTATACATCTTTATAACATTAGTATAGATAATAAAAATATAGAAAAGTTAAAAGTTATAAAAGGAAATGTGTGAATGGATGTAAAAGATTTCATTGAAATTTGTAAATGTCAAAATTTCAATAGGGAAGACAATTTCAGTTGTCCAGAGCACGAAATTGTGCACCTAATCCTAAAGTCTAAGTAATACAGCGAGATTGGTTTGTCGTTATAACTGTAAACTTTGAAGATATTTCGTTTATGCATGAGTGGACTACAACCACATAGGATGTGTAGTGGCGTTTCCTCTTCAGCTTGGCATGACTTTAGTAACAGCGAAAATAGTATCGTGGTAAATATCTGATTTATTATAATGTGTACAAAAAATATATATAACCTTTCACAGGAGTATAATAAACCAGTAGTTTTTATACAAGCTCTAATACAAGCCAGGGAATGGATCTCGTTACCAGTTGTATTGCATGCCA